TAATATTATTTACTTTCTGGAAAATGTAAACTCCTTTTAATGAATTGCTTGAAGGGTATTGAGTATTAGAACTAAGTCTAATTGCATCCATAAAATATTTCTTTGTCAGTACAGAATTGGACTGAGATTACAAGGCAGAGCTTTTACTAGCTTTTACAACTTCGGGACATTGCAAAATGCTTTACAATTAAACGTAATCACTGTTGTAATATAAAGAAATGAGATAGGAAATGGGCACACAGCAAGGTTTCACAAACTGTGACAAATGACCAGGTAATCTGTTTGAGTTGAAGGAGAAATGCTAGCCAAGAGGATACCAGGATAACTTCCCTGCACTTCGATAAACAGTGCCGTGTAATACAACCAAAAATTAGGTGTTTGAATAAATTTGGGGATGTTTCATTAGACTGATGCATAAAACATGCAAATCTTTGCAATCCGCTGCCTGTACTAATCTGATGATAAAGCAGCTTGTTCAAATTCACCTTGACAGTGAGCAACTAAATGGACTGAAAATAAAATTATTTCAAAAGTCTTTCTTAAATGGAGGTGACCTAGTATTGGAGACAACAAGATGCAGAGCTGGATGAACACAGCAGGCCAAGCAGCATCATAGGAGCAGAAAGGCTGACGTTTCGGGCCTAGACCCTTATTGGATGTGGATGAACTGATAATTACAAACTGTCTCGTAAAGATTTTGAATTTCATTAAGGTGACAAAGTGCCCCATTAAGGTGGATAAATCCCCAGTGTCTGATGGTATCTACCCCAGATTATTAAGAGAGGCAAGAGAGGAGGTTGCTGGGGCCTTGACCAAAATCTTTGTATCCTCACCAGCCATTGGAGAGGTCCCCAGTGACTGGCGAGTAGCTAATGTTGTTCCTCTGGTCAGGAAGGGAAATAGGGATAATCCAGGAAACTATAGATCAGTGAGCCTCATATCAGTGGTTGGGAAGCTATTGGAGAGAATTCCTAGGGATAGGATTTACGCACACCTAGAAATGCAAGGCCTAATTAGGGACAGTCAGCGTGGCTTTGTGTAGGGCAGGTCACGTCTTACTAACTTGCTTGAGTTTTTTGAAGAGGTGGCAAAGGTGATCGGTGACGGATTTTAGTAAGGCTTTCAACAAGGTCCCTCATGGTAGGCTCATCCAGAAGATTAAGATGCAGGGGAACCACAGTGACTTGGCCGTGTGGATTCAGAATTGGCTTGCTCATAGAAGGAAGAGTGTTTTTCTGGCTGGAGATCTGTGATCAATGGTGTTCCTCAGGGATCTGTACTAGGACATCTGCTGTTTGTGGTCTATAAATGACTTGGATAAAAATGTAGATTGGTGGGTTAGTAAGTTTGCAGACAATACAAAGATCAGTGGAGTTGTGGATACTGTAGAAGGTTACCAAAGGATACAGCAGGATATTGGTCAGTTGCAGGTATGGGTGGAGAAATGGCAGGTGGAATTTAATGTGTGTAAACGTGAGGTGATGCACTTTGGGAGATCAAATGTTAAGGGAAAGTAGTTAGTGGCAGGACCCTGAACAGCATTGATTTACAGATGGATCTTGGCGTTCAAGTCCAGGCTCCCTGAAAAGTGACCACACAAGTAGGTAAGGTGGTAAAGAAGGCATATGGCATGCATACCTTTATTGGTCAGAGAATTGAGTACAAGAATCAGGACATCTTATTGCAGCTTTACAAGACATTGGTTAGGCTGCATTTAGAATACTGTGTTCAATTCTGGTTGCCACATTACAGGAAGGATGAGGAGGCATTGGAGAGGGTCCAGAAGAAGCTTACCAGTCTGCTGACTGGATTAGATGATATGAACTATAAGGAGAGGCTAGAAAACTTGGGTCGTTTTCTCTGGAGCAGTGGACGCTGAGTGGAGACCAGAAGTCTATAAAATTATGTAATGCATAGATCGGGTTGATGGTCAGAATCTTTTACCCAAAGTTGAAATGTCTAATACTAGGGGGCATGCATTTAAGGTGAGAGGGAGAAAGTTCAAAGGAGATGTGAGGGGCAAATTTTTTACACAGAGAGTGGTGAGAGTCTGGAATGTGCTGCTAGGGGTAATGGTGGAGGCAAATACGATGGGGCATTTAAGGGACTTTTAGCAAGTGCATGAATATGCAAGGAACGGAGGGAAATGGACTGAATGCAGGCAGACGGGATCAGTTTAATTTGGCATCATGTTCGGCACAACATTGTGGGTTGAAAGGCTCGTTCCTGTGCTGTACAGTTTTACATTCTACTCCATTTTCCTGCCTTTGGCCCAAATCGCTTGCTTAGCAAAAATTTATCTATCTCAGTTTTAAAATTAATAACTGATCCTACATCCAACACCCTTTGAGTCTAGAAGTGCTTCCTAGCCTTGCCTCTGAACAGTCTGGCCCTAATTCTCAGGCTATGCCCCTAAATTTAGAATTGCCAACCAGTGAAAATAATTTATCTTTACCCACCCTGTCTTTTCCTGTTAATATCTTGAAGACTTTAATCAGGTCATTCCTTAATCATCTTAAACTTAACCAGCAATTCAACTGAGTCTGAGCTCTGAGCAACGTGAGTGTTGTGCACAGTCAAAAGAACTTCAACTGGGCATTGACATACTGATCTCTCTAACTCGCATGAACTAATTTTGATATCTATATTTTTCAGTGATTTCTAAGTTCTTTCCTTTATCTTTTCTTTCTTTTGCTGGATGCAAATATCTGTGTGTGTCTGTGTGTGTGTGTGTGTGTGTGTGTGTGTGTGTGTATGTCAAAGAGATAGACAGTGACCATGTGTTGTGAACAATTTCCCAGTTTTCAATGACAGTAATAAACATTTCTTTGTATTAACCCTACTAAAGAAATAGTTGTTGGTCATTTGAATTTTGCTTTCACAATGAGGGTTTAGAGAATCACACCACTATTTCTGAAAAGCAAATGGAAATAAGAAAGAAAAATAAAACTCAACCCTTGTTGTGAACAGGAGAGGTGGAAAGAAAGGCAGTCTCCTTCTGTCATAAGCACATAAGCAAGCGCAGTGACAAGGATGGAGAGGGAGCCAGGAGGATAGCAATGAGCAAATAAAGGAAGCCTGTGATAAGGTGGAGAGATTAAATTACTTAAAGGAATAATGCTGAAAAGCAAAAGGATAAGAATTTTTCGTTTATTCATTCGTGGGATGTGGGTATTGCTGGCCAGGCCAGCACTTATTGCTCATCCCATCGTTGCCCTGAAGAAGGTGGTGGTGAGCTGCCTTCTTGAACCGCTGCAGTTTTGTTGTAGGGACAGCCACAATGCTGCTGTTAGAGAAGGAGTTCCAGCATTTTCACTTAGTGACAGCGAAGGAATGGTGATATAGTTTCAAATCAGGATAGTGAAAGTCCTGGTTGGGGAGGGGTGGTAGGGAGCGGAGAGAACTTGTGGGTGGGGTTACCATGTAGCTGCTGCCCTTGTCCTTCTAGGTTAAGATTGTATTTGGAAGGTGCAAAAGTTAAAGGTTTGGTGAGCAATGGAACAGGCAGAAATCCAGAGGAACTCCACAGCGTGAGTACCTGTTTGCACATAGTTTTGATCTGAAGGAAGGGCAATACAGTTAAGCCTGGGCAGGTGGTGGAGACTGTGACAGCCAAGACACAAGACCATGGGACACCAGATCCATATCTGATCCAAGGCTGATAATAAACTTGGAATGACTGCTGGAGGTGCACCTTAAGGCATGGGAATTCTGAGTTCGAGTCAGACACTTTCGATAGTTCTGATTTATTTTTCTGAATAGTCAACTGGGAGATGTGAGAGAGAAAACTCCTGGACTGGCTCCTGAGACCTGTACAGTACACCTCCATCCCTGAATCATCCCATTCCCATGACCCTCGACTCCTCCCTGATCTGATCTCACTATCTATCACTACCCGACTCCACTTTGACTCCTTCAACCACACCCCTGACACCGTGCCTCCCATTCCCACAGCCCAACCTGACTAGCCTCACATCCAACACCCCCAACCACAGCCACCCACTCTAGACCAGCTCTCAATATGACAAACTATCCCAATCCTATAGGGCTAGCTCCCAAATTACTTGCCCAATATTCCACCAACCCATCCGGCTATGTGCCAACCCAGCCACCTTCCACCCTTCCACAGCACTCGCCTGCCATTCTGCCACACTGCCCCCTCATCACTCTTAGCATCTGACTCATCTCCTACCCTAGCCAGCTTCCACCTTTCCACCCTATCCATCCACCACTCTTCCACTCTGCCGAGCTGCCACCCTACCATACTGTCATCTTAACTAATCATCCACTTACACCTCCAACTCTAACCACTTACTCACTTACCTCACCACCCTAATCACTTAATTACACATTCACTGATCCATTCACTCACCAATGTGCTGAAAGCTTAAAAGGTCTCAGAGCAAACTCGAATACTTACCTTAAATGAAAGACCTTTATTTTTAAACTGTGCTCCTTAGTCCTAGATTCCTCCAGAGGGAAAGCATCTACTCAGTGTCCACCCTGACAAGCTGTCCTTCAGAATCGATATCTCGATAAGACCACCTCTGAGTTCCAAAACTGCTGAACCTCCTGGGAAGTCAGGAATGAACCGCAACCCCCTTTGAGTGATTTCCAATACAAAGTAAAATTCTCCTTACGAAATGATACTTGCACACAATGCTCCTGATGCAGTCTCACAAAGGCCCTGTGCACCTTTAATAACATTTATCTACATTTGATTCCCTTCACCTTCCTAATTACATGCTATGCGACATGCTGCCATTTTGTAATCATGAACAGGGACAGCCGGGTCCCTCTGTACTGCCGCACTCTGTTGCCTCACTCCACTTTGATGATAAAACCTGATTCCAAGCCTCCCTGTTTGTTTGGTAATTCCTTTATGATTCATCCGTACCGACCAAACCATCAGCTGATGGCAGGATCCTCCAATAGAAGCTCATCCCCACATTGTTGCAGGCATTTTAAGTGCCTGCCATTGACTCTTTACATTTTCATACAAATGATGTGGACAACTGCTCCGAACGTGAAGCAGAAGTGTGCCAATTTCAGCTTCTGCCAACAAGAATGGTATGCCATTGACGAAAGCCCGTCTCATGTTTTTACTGCCAGGTTGTACTTCTGTGAAACGCGGGAAAGAAGGGCCCATTGCAGGTACATATCGTTGGCCTTCAACCACCAATATGTTAACCTTATTGATTTGTAAGGATTTTAATACGACAGCAAATGCCCAATTCTTCTTGGTGTTGTGCCAGGTCTTCTGGGGCCCTCGGGCTGTTGACAGATCTGCAATTTTCAGGCCACACAGACAGTTGTTCAAATGCTAATGAAGAAACGACTCACAGCAGCTGCACCAGCACCGATGGGACACCAAACACAGATTCAAAGTGGACAGAAAATCCATGAGACAGATACAGCTTGCTGCATTTAATCATTTGTATGACATTGGTGCAGAATGACACTTTGATGAGGTGTATCTAAAAATCCCCCACACAGGATGTTCTCATTGTTGGCAGTTAAGTACCATCCAAATGAGTCGTACTTTCTAGCCTTTATTTCCTATATGATAATGCCTTAGAGTCCAATTTACTGCTTGACTGAAAATTATCCATTCACACAAAAAATCTATTAAAAGTAATGAACAGTTGAACCCATATCATGTCTATAGCCACCGAAAAATTGCATTAAGTGTTCATCAAACATCTCAGATGTCCTCGTTTTTCAACGATCGCAACTTCCCCCACTCAGTGGTCGAGAATGCCCTCGACCATGTCTCCCGCATTTCCCGCAACTCATCCCTCACACTCCCTCCCCGCAATAACAACCAAAAAAGAATCCCCCTCATCCACACGTACCACCCCACCAACCTCTGGATCCAACGCATCATCCTCCAACAATTCTGCCATCTGCAATCCAACCCCACCACCAAAGACATTTTTCCCTCCCCCCCCTTATCTGCTTTCCAGAGGGACCACTCTCTCCGTGATTCCCTTGTCCGCTCCACACTCCCCTCCAGCCCCACCACACCCGGCACTTTTCCCTGCAACCACAGGAAGTGCTACACCTGCCCCTAAACTTCCCCCTTCACACCCATCCCAGGCCCCAAGAAGACTTTCCACATCAAGCAGATGTTCACCTGCACATCTGCTAATGTGGTATACTGTATCCGCTGTTCCCGTTGTGGCCTCCTCTACATCGGGGAAACCACGCGGAGGCTTGGGGACTGCTTTGCAGAACACCTACGCTCGGTTCGCACTAAACAACTGCACCTCCCAGTCGCGAACCATTTCAACTCCTCCTCCCATTCCTCAGACGACATGTCCATCCTGGGCCTCCTGCAGTGCCACAACGATGCTACCCGAAGGTTGCAGGAACAGCAACTCATATTCCGCTTGGGAACCCTGCAGCCTAATGGTGTCAATGTGGACTTCACAAGCTTCAAAATCTCCCCTCCCCCTACCGCATCCCAAAACCAGCCCAGCTCGTCCCGCCTCCCTAAACTGTCCTTCCTCCCACCTATCCCCTCCTCCCACCTCAAGCCCCACACCCATCTCCTACCGACTAACCTCATCCCGCCCCCTTGACCTGTCCGTTCTCCCTGGACTAACCTATTTCCTCCCTACCTCCCCACCTACACTCACCTTTACTAGCTCCATCCCTGCCTCTTTGACCTGTCTGTCTCCTCTCCACCTATCTTCTCCTCTATCCATCTTCTATCCGCCTCCCCCCTCTCACTATTTATTTCAGAACCCCCTTCCCCTCCCCCATTTCTGAAGAAGGGTCTAGGCCCGAAACATCAGCCTTCCTGCTCCTCTGATGCTGCTTGGCCTGCTGTGTTCATCCAGCTCTACACCTTGTTATCTCAGATTCTTCGGCATCTGCAGTTCCTACTATCTCTAGATCTTAGTGATATTGTTCACAATACCTCTTTGTGACCTTACATCCCTTTTTTTCATACGTAAATGTAACATGCCATGAAATAATGATCAAAGATCTCCAATTTTGACAGATTCACTGGAGAATGAAGTTTAAATTGATATGACTCATCTCAACGATTACCAATTTCAATTATGGTACGCTGTGTCACGCATATTATCAATTACTTAACGTGGTAAATTTTCTGATTTATAAATATCCACCTGAAGATTTTGGCCTTGATTTATATGTCATATCAACTTCTTATTTAGAGCAGAATTTGGCATCAAATGGGGCAGTATTAAATCACACCCCAAATTCCCATTTGACATTGCATCAGAATTGCCCTCCAAACCAAAAGGTCATCCTCTTTTTAAAAAAAACACCAATCTGCACTTCAATGGCGGTATATCAGTGTGACTGAACCATTTGGACCATTGTCCCCACCTTCTGCCCCAAACCAGTAAGCTGTCGTTGTGGTGGATATTGCAGTGAGGAGGGTATTTTGTCTTTTACAACTGAAGGTTAGTGTTATACAAATAGTGTAAGTCTATGGAATTGCTATGTATTTTCAAGATTTTATTAGGAGCTCTGCTGCTGCTTTTAGTCACCCCTGAAACATTTTGGAAATGGATTTGCCAATCAGAATTTAAAAAAAAACAAAAGGACTGTGAATGCTGGAAATCAGAAACAAAAACGAAATTGCTGGAAAACATCAACAGGTCTGGCACCATCTATGGAGAGAAAGCAGAGTCAAAGTTTCTTTCCACAGATGCTGCCAGGCCTGCTGACTTTTTCTAGCAATTTCTGTTTTTGTTGCCAGTAGGAATTCCTCTCTTTCTAATTTGCGAAGATGCGTGGAATGAGGAGATCAAAGAGACTAGACTGGAGGATCTTAGACTAAGTCATCACAGAAGATGTTTGCCCATTAAACGCAGAAATCCACTTACCAGAACTTACAAACCAAGACGCCTAAACTTTTCTGAAAAATGCTGTTACAGAAAGCTATGCTTTCACTTGATGTTACTGGAGAGAGATATAATGGCAGACTAAAGGACATACAGTCAAATTCCACCAGAAGGACTTCACTATTTCTGCCCATTGTCTGGAGTCTGTTTGCTACTAGATGCTCCCAGGCAGCATCATCAGACCTTGTCACACATTAGTCAGGCAGAAGGTTCATGGAATCATATAAAGTGCTTGAAGCTTTTTTCAGGAAGGCTGCACAATCTGCACCTTTCCCGATACAACCAGAAGAACATAGACAGGATGCTTTCCAACTTTATCAATTTAGCACACTCTACAGAGGCTCCTTTATTAGAGTGGAGAACCATGAAGGAGAGATAAAATATGTTTTATTTACTTGAAATTCTTCAAAGTAGTTTGGATAGAAGAATGAAAAAGATTATACAAACCGTCAGGGAACCTTGTAATAACTTACAGAATTTTGCAGCAGTCACTGTTCAGTAGCTGAACATTACTGGAGACATGCCCATTTCAATTAATGAAAAATGGCCTAACCTGCCACAGGCTTATTGATCTCACCCTTGAAAGTTGAAATTGGCCCAGCCTTTTAGGAGATAGAAGGAGATAAGCTCGGATTCTCACTACCCTTCAAAGGTACTTCCTGATTTAATTCCTAAATGAAATTGTCCTATTTTCAAGATTCTGCCCCCGTTTGGGAATCCCCTACCAGAGGCAATAGTTCCTCTGTATTTACACAACCATTTTTTAAAGAAAACAAGTCGTTTAAGAACTTTGATTAGATTTTTTAAAATCAAAGGAATACAGACCAACCTTATATCATTCTTGCGATGGCGTTCCTTACCCCAAATATGGAGCTTGCTACTGTCAGGAGTGGTTGAGGTGAATGGCATGGATGTCTGTGAGGAGAAGCTAGATAATTGTGTGACGGAGAAAGGAAAGAAGGATACTGGAGATTGCAGTATATAAGTCAGGCCAACATACAAAATCACCTCATTATTCTGACATCAAAATACATGCTTCGGTATCTTACGAGCCTTACATGTAAGATGCTTCCACACAATGCATACCATGCGACCTTCAATAGAAATTCTGCAACAAGAATGAAATACAAAACTGATTTCAAACTAGAAGTCATACAATGTGCTAACTCACAGAATATCTGTGCTGCAGCGAGGGATTTCAGTGTTGGCAAAAAGGCTGGCATGAGAATGGAAGGAGTCCTTTTTGAAGAGGATGCCGAACACCAAATTCACCAGAACCACAGGGTCCGATAAACTGTCAGCTCTTGAGAAGGACATATTGAAAAGGGGGGGAGGTAAATAGTGGAGGGTGGCCTTAAACTGCAGGGTCACCACATTATTGAAAACTGGTCAGATGGACAAAGCAGTGGCAAATAGAATTTAACTCGGAAAAATGTCAAGTGTTACACCTGGGAAGGACTAACAAGGCAAGGGATTACACTGTGTGTAGGACTCTGTGTGGAAGGTAGTGAAGATCAGAGGGACATTACTGCACACATCCACAGATCCCTGAAAGTTGATAAGTTGGTTAAGAAGGCATGTAGGATACTTGCCTTTATTCACCGAGATACAGAACACATGAGCAGGTTTTGCTGGAACTGTATAAAACACTGGTTAGGTCACAACCTGAGCACTGCACCTAGTTCTGGTCACCACATTATAGGAAGGATGTGGTTGCACCAGAGAGGGCTGGAGGGTCTGAGCAATGAGCAAAGACTAGATAAGCTGGGGTTGTTTTCCTTACAGCATGAAGATTGAGAAGGGACTTGATAGGGATGTATATGATCGTGAGGGGCACAGATACAGGTGGATAGGAATGCACTTTTTCCAATAAAAGAGGGATAAAAGGAATTTAGCCTGAGCGTGTTGGGAGCCTGGAACTCATTACCTGAATGGATAGTTGTATCATAAACACTTGTAACACCTACGTTGTATTTAAATAAGCTGCTTTTGCATTGCCATAGTCTCCAGGCCCATGGGGCAAGAGTTGGACAATGGGATCAGTGTAGTTAGATCTTCATTGACTAGTGTGCAGATGATGGGCTAAATGGTCTCCTTCTATGTTGTAAATTTCTAAGTGGTATGCAATGAATGACACTAACAGTGGGATTCATGTGAGAGGTCCTCTGGAATGAAGAATGACACTTGCTCACGGCACGCGGATGTCTCAGGATCCCTGCAGGAGCAGCCCCCGTCTTCTCCTGCAAGGGTCAGGATTACCTACTTATAGGGGGTGAGGAGCTTAACATTGGCCACTCTGCCCAGGCCCCTTCTGCCTATTGTATTTGTTTTCTTTATTTATTCACAGGATGAGGGCATCGCTGGCCAGGCAGCATTCATTGTCCATCCCTAATTGCCCACAGG